GCCCGCGGCCCGCCCTGCGCCGAGTGTGTAGGGATGGCTGCCGCCGCAGCAGCGCAGGTAGGCCCGGGGTTCCGCGCCTTGCAGATCTTCCTGCCCCGGCTCCGCGCGGAAGGCCCGAGAGGTTCCCTGCGAGGCCCTGGGGCGTTCCCGGGCACCCCTCCGAGGGAGCTGTTTGGGGTAGGGTTAGGCCCTGCGGCGGTAGGCAGCACGGGTGCCGGTGCCGGACTGTAGCGCTCGAAGGTATTTTGCTTGGCACGCGCGCCGTGGGGCGTATGGCAGGGCAGGGATCGGGCACCTCGTGGCTCCCCCAGCATCTGCCCCAGGCGTGCCAGCATCGTACAAATCGAGGGTGCCGGTGTTTTCAGTACTCTGCCCAAAACCATTGCTAACCCGTGGGTTAGATAATGAGCACAGGCCCATTGTGAGTACTGTAAGCCCCCTCAGTGGGGACACATCAGCTGATTGCTTGGGATGAATAAAAAGGAAACAGGGACAGAGTGAGGGTTATAGGTTCAAAACATGGGGTTGGGAAGGGGACTGAGCGGAGCACACCGGCCAGCACACGCTACCCTCAGAATGAGTCAAGGGAGCCTGTGGATGGTGCCCAGAGACATAAGTGAAGACGCCTCCCAGGCCAGAGGTTTTCCTTGCAAGTCCCTGCCATTGGAACGGCTTCCCCAGGAGAGACTCGGGCTGCCTCCCCCACAGAGACGCAGTGATGGTGGCTGTGCCCCCTTTCGTAGACACAGCCCCCGCCAGCAGAGATGCGCTGCCTCCTGGATAATATGGAACGAACTGGACAAACAGTGCTTTTTCATACCGCTGTACCCCTTAGTATAGATTCACCCTATGCTTAGGGACCTCCCGGCTGATCAGCAGCAAGCGGCGTGGCGCAAGAGCCCCTCAGCCCATCAGCAGTGGGAGGAAAAAACAGCAGCATGTTTAAAAACATGGTTTTTGCTTCCTGGCTGAGCAGCAGGGCTGCCGGGGCCTCTTCATCAATCTGTGGCTAGGGGGGGCAGCAAAAAGAGCAAGATTAAAGGAGCTGCTGCACACTGCACTTCCGCCAGATTTAGGTAGGTCCCTGGCTATGCTGTGTCCACATGAGGGACTTTGCTGGAGCATGTATGGCAGCTGAGGGATGGGAAGTTTTACATCCATGTGCAGGTGTAGTCAGGCTGGCCAGTCTTTATAGTGTGGCATAAGGATCAGGGCTATAGGGGCTGGATCAGAAGGTACTGAATGTGTACTGCTTGTGCCTGCAGCTCCGGGAGGCCTTTGAGGACGTGGCGCTGTACTTCACTCAGAAGGGCTGGGAGCTGCTGGAAGATGGAGACAAGGTGCTTTACCGGGACCAGATGCTGAGGAATTACCAAGCCCTTGTTTCCCTGGGTAAAGTTCTGTTTCTTGCTTCCCCCCCACCCCGAGCTCAGAAACACCCCCTTCCTCTCCCGGTTCTACAGTCTTCTCAGGAATGTTGGGCTGACGGTTTAAACTACCTTCTTTTCCCCGCTGTTCTGTCATTGATATGTTCCCTTTCATGTTTTCGTATCCTCCTTTAGCTGATCCACCTCTTCCTCTTAGTCTAATTTCTGGTTCTTCCATATTTAGCAGTTACTTTGCAGGGTGGTCTCCCTTTGCCTTCCCAGCAGTTCCACGCCATCTCCAACCTATAGATGGTGAGGAACTCAAGGAATTCTTCTTCCCTCCTCGTTCTCTCTCCTGTTGTATTTTATCCAGAGATTAACTGTCCTAGCTTGCATGTCTCTGGTGTCTAGTCCACTTCCTTTTTCCACTTTCTCATCACATCTTCTGGGGACACGTTTGCATACAATAAAACCCAGAATTTTCCAACAAGGAGTTTCTGTTTATGGCCTTTCTAACATCTCTATCTTCACAGACCACAGTTTCCGTCTGTGCTGTGTTTACCTTAAGACCCATGTTCTTAAGCTTGCTCTGCCATCCTATTAAAAATTTCTTGCTCTTTTTCCTAAATCCCCCTATTTTGAGAGGGCACCTGCAAATAATGTGCAATCTACAGTGCAGCCTATCTAAGCTTTTCTCCGGTGACAAACATCCCTGCAATTCAAAGAAATGGGCTGAAAGCAGATCCCTGGTGAAAACCACTTTTACTTTGAAAGGCTTTTTATTACAGGGATTTTTTCTGGCATGTGTGGAAACTTTGCATCCAGATATTGTACAAACCTTATGTACTTTTCTGGTGATTTCAACTTCCTCCAGCTTCATTGAAGACCTTCCTTCTGGACCTGCTTAATTTTTGTTTTCTCCTTGATCTGGGGCACTCAACCCCTTGATTGTCATCTGTCCCACAAGCCTCCTTATAGCTCTAAAAATTTGGCTGTGGAAGAGTGGTGGCCTTCCCCTGCTGCCAAACTTTTGGACCCATGGGGAGCCTTGCAGGCTGGATAGCATGGGCCTGTCTGCTAGATTGAGAGCTCAAGGCCTAGGACGCAGCACAGGGCATGATCTCAGGGGTGTGGGCTGACAGGAGGTGGCATAGGGTTGAGTCCCAGTGTGTGGGGCCCCTCTGACCCACCAACCAGCCCCAGCGTCTCAACCCGTGGGGCCAAAAGGCTGAGCACCACTGCCCTAGGTCTACAATGACTACATGGACTAGAGTGATTGATTCTTTACGTTACTTATCTTGAAAGTGCTTGAGGATTTTTTTAACTATTTCCTTTTCTAAAACCAAACTTTGTATCACTAACTGTTGTCCTCCTGAGTTTAGCTGCAAAAACTTTTCATTGCTTTTCAACAAGTGGCTAATTAACTTTGTTTTCCTGTCATTGGAGCTTTGAGTGTGACTCCCTTTTTTTTGTTGCACAAGGATGGTGATCTGACATGCGATCACCATTTATCTAGAATCTTTTCTTTCTATACACTTTTCTGGAATCGGTGCACTAACCACCGTTCCCCTTTATCTCCTAATGCTTTGGTAACTTCCACAGGTTGTGCATATACTTGCTTATTTTCCTTTTTTTTTCAAATATAATTTCTGCTCTCCTGATTGCCTCTGTATTGTCAAATGGGATTTCAGCTACAAATCTGTTACAGTGCCAACAGATGCAAATATTCTCTGGAATATTCTCCTTTCAGTAAATTATCAAAATATCTTTCTGACTTGCCATTTTTCTCTTAGACTAGCTGCTATCCATTTTGCTATTGCTGCTAGAAAGTGCTGCCTTTTTTTAATCTGTAATGGGTTTTAGCCAATTTATCAATTGTTTTTTTCATCCTCTCTGCTGTTCAGTTTGTCATGCAAGTCGTTTAATGCTGTTACTGCCCTTTTCACAACTCTTGTCTTTTCTGTGTAAATGACTTGGCCCAAATCCATGAGACCCATGTATTAAAGACTTCTGTTTATCCTTCAGTAGCTCCTTGAGTCTCCAGGTCTCCCATGTGGTTTGCCTGAAGTGATTTGATTTCAGTGGGTATAAGTACATTCTTCTTTCCTGCATCCCAAAGTGTATCTGCATCAAAATCTTTTTGATGGTAATATGACTGTAGGTTGACTTTATGTAGCTCTTTTTTTTTCTTTTCTTCTAAACTAATATTCACTGTTTCATCTTTAGATTAGGGATAACTAGGCCAAGTAATCTTAAGCATTTAAGACAAAGGCAACAGAACTTAAGGAACTAGTAACAGGCATGTGGACATCTGTAGGCAGGAGATCTTTAGGGCCAGGATAAGGACAAGATAGGTACATAGATGGAAAGAACAGGGACATGAACAGATTTAAGTTCAGTTTGACCTGCTTGTAGCTGGCCTAACCATAAAATAATAGAATAGAAAATAGGCCTATTTAAGGCCACCTCCTGCATCGTCAGTTGGTGTTCCATTCACACTAAAATCTTGTTCAGGCAGACAAAACCATCTACAGATGTTAGATCCCCTAGCTTTCAGGAACAAGTCCCTGAAACTTGGTAAAGTTGTTTTAACAGGCAGGCTACCTGTTACTAATTTTCTTTTTTTAATTTTAATTGATTTAAAAAAAAAATCAAAAAAGCATATACATCAACTGTACATGTAAAACCAAACTACATCTCAAATAATAAACAATAAAAGGGAAGAAAAAAGGAGGAGTGAAGAGGGGAGAGAAAGAAGAGGGAAAAAGAGAAATGCAATGAGAAACACAATCTAGCTAAAAAAATATTGCGAAAATTCCTTCCAAAATTGCACCAACATTTTCAAAACAGTTAAGTCTGCTAAACATGACTCTGCATAGATGTCAGCTGCAGCATGCCATTGTACCAGGTTTCAACATTTAGAGATGTCCTGTTTTCCAGTGCAGTAATCTAATGGCTCATTTGTGGAATTTGGGAAAGATTCAGTTTGAATTTCTTGGGAATTTACCCAAGAACACATATTTGCTAAAGGTATCAGTGCTGTGTGCTAAACCACATTATCTCTAGCTATAATTCATTTCCAAAAAGAACTGATAACAGAACATGACAAAACAGGTGACCAAGTGTGGTAGCCTTCATTGAATCAGATCTCCAACATGGGTCTACTGGCAGGATATTTGATTTTTTTTAAGTTTAGAGACAATCCAGTGCAGACAAAATTGATTTTTGATAAGATGAAGTCTAAGATGAGTTGTCATTGTTTTGACTATTATGAATTGCTGATTTCCACTGGGATACTGTCATCTAGCTAGGTTTCCATTTTAGGCTTAAATAGTCTGTACCAGATCTGCTTTATGGCATTATATATTCATAGAGTGATGGCACAGGATGGGGAAAGAAGCAGATTTCAAGGCAAAAAAAATGCATCTGGAGCAGCTGCTATACCTAAAGCCTTGGGTCCAAAGTGTCTTTTTAATAATTGATGCAACCGCATATATTGTCATGCAGCTCTTTTCAGAAGGTCAAATTCATCACATAACTTGGAAAAGGATTGAATATGACTTCCTACTATGATTTAGTACATGCATGATACCTTTATCTGTTTTCTTTCCCCACATCAGTTTGTGGGACTGTGGCAGGGTACTTGGTGCATGATACGTTGTGAGTTCAGCAGCAACCCTCTGGACACTCCTGTGTTGAATTAACAAGTATTTATTAATGTAACTCTCTGGAATCATATCCAGGGTGGATCTTAACAGTTGCCCTAGTATGTCTGCAAAACTTATACTTATTCTTTCCCTGACCTTGACCTGGCCCAGTCCTGGTGAGTGAGAGGGACCAAGAATATGTCCCCTGGCTCCTCGTGGCAGGGAGAATGGAGTCTCCAGTGCTGCAAAAACTGCTGCAAAACAGACAACTCTGCAGTGCCGAACATGAGGGGTTTGGCCTTAAAGGGACAGTGCAAGACAAATACAATAAGACACAACAACCCTTCTCCCTAGACAGAATAGTCAGCCAACCATTGGGGAGGGTTCCGCTTCCCCTGTGGTCTTTCCGTAGAGCCTGACTCAGTGAGGGGGTCAGCAGATGACAGCCCTTTCAGCCTGTCTGGGGAATCAACAGCGACGCTTCCCTCTGACGACGATGGAATAGGGTTTGAGTTGGTGGAAACAGGTAGACACTTACCCAATAACTCCATGTCTGTCGGTGGTGGATTGGTGCCTGGAGATTGTTCAGGTGTAGGGTTATCAGTAGGAGAACGCCCATGCAGCTGGTCTACATGATGTCTCCAAACTTGTCTGTCGTCAGTCTGGACTGTATATGATACGGGTCCTGTCGTGCTTACAATTTTAGATTGAACCCAGTGTGGGCCTGTCCCGTAGGTCTGAGCAAACAGTCTGTTGTGGAACGAAAAACCATAAAGTACCAGATGCCAATGCAGAGTCCAACTCTTTTTCTTTCCTGAACTGTGTCTCTCTCACAAGGTCTGGGTTCACACGGTCAAGGGTCGTCATCTCAAGACATGCCGTAAGAAGCTCTGATGGGCCAGACCCTGCTGTAAGGCAAGGAATTACATATTGAGCAAACAGAAATCTGGCCAGTCTGACAGGCCAGTCTCCTACAATAATCCTTTTCAGCGCATCTTTTGTGGTTTGCACCATTCGCTCAGCTTACCCATTGGCCTGTGGCCTGCGAGGTGCAATGGTAACAGTTTGAATGAGGCTACAACTGGCAAAATCTTGGAACTCTGCTGAGGTGAATGTCCTGCCATTATCAGAAACGATAGTGTCGGGCACCCCATGGGTTGCAAACAGCTGACGGAGAGCTGTTATAGTGGCAGTTGATGTAAGAGGTGAGACAGTAATCACTTCAAGCCATTTTGAATACAAGTCAGCCACAATTAAGAAATTCTTACCTTGGAAAGGGCCAGCAAAATCAATGTGGTTGCACGACCGTGGCTCCTTTGTCATCTCCCACAAGAATACTAGTGCCTTTGGTGAATTATGATGGGTCACTTGATAAACA